CCAGCGACGAGGCGTTGGTATCTTGTACAAAGGCGACGTCCACGCGAAGTCAGCGCAGGAAGAACTCGAGGCTCATCTCACGAGCGATAAGCCCATGGATGTTGATGGAAGTCAGGCTGAAGCATGTTGCGAGCACTTGTTGGAGTGCTGTTTGGGTTTCAGGCAGGTACTCTAGAAGATTCAAAGCCACCTTGTAAAGTCGAGGGCCTCTATGACTTCTAACTTTACAGCCCTAAATGTTTGATTTCACTAATTAGGAAGCTGGGGATCTTCTCGAGATTGGCCGCCAAATATCTTTGCCCTAAAGCCTGGAAACAATTCATCACAGACTGCAAATTCTCCAATTGGCTAAATACGCCGGTGCCCAGTCAGCTATACTGAAGCATAGATTTATCTGTGCCAAAGTGCTGCGATTCAGAAGCTCTTGTCTCTTTGTAATATTCCACGACATCGGTCCTCTGCTTGACACCAGTCGTTCAAACAATGTCGGCTTTCTTCATTCCCACCCTGTGCAAGTCGATGACAATATTGCATTCATTTTCCCGAGCCATGACGTCAACAAATAAGAAAAGCGAATAAATAAAAATTCTATTCTGAACCAATATCACACGTGGAATTCAATGATATTATTAGAATTGACATCACAATCACACAATGAAAGTGTCAAAACTACAATGAACAAATACATTTGCGGGAATATTTATCGCAATCTGTCTATATATAACAAACGGAATCATTGAATCACGAGTGTTTATTTTACACATAAAACAAACTTCTACTATCCTTACTGTGATAAAAAAAATATTGGGAGGGCTTTTCTCATCAGTAGTGAACCCTCCCAGCGGTTTCACCAATTTAATCCACCAGACCGCTTCTTAGCGCTCTAATACTGTATTGGATCATTCTGATTATGTATACTACACTGAAGGGTGGAATCTCAGAAATGGTATTCAAGTAAACTTTCAACCTAAGCTTTTAGGACAGTATAATTACATTTAAATATTTTCATCGAGCAATGCTCTTCCGCAAACAATAAGGAAAAAGTCAGTTAGGAATAAATTATTATAACGCTATACACAGGAAATGAAAGCGGTCTGGTTGATTAAATTGGCGAAACCGCTGGTAAGGTTCATCACTGATGAGCCGAGCTCTCCCAAAATATATTTCTCATCGCTGTAAGAATAGTAGAAGTTTGTTTTATGTATAAAAGAAACATTCGTGCTTTAATGATTTCATTTATTTTGTATAAATGGCGCGTTATTTCCTTACAATTAATCTGCCTATATACACATATACAATTTATATATACATATACAATTTTGAAAAAGGCATCTCCTTATCGTGCAACTGAAAGTTGCTGATGGCTTGCGCCATCTATCGGAATAATATATCAACTATTCTCGTTGATTTCTAATTATTCCAGAATTGGCCAAATACCCATTCTTGATTAATCAAGAAAAGCTAACCACGGACGCGTTTCGGGCTGTTGGCCCTCATCAGCGTGGTACAAGCTGTACCTCAACGACCAAAAAACTGGTCCTTCAGGCATCTTGAAAAATCATGAAACGGGTAGTTAAGGCCAGAATTGCCTTTTTCATAATTTATGAACCGTATCCCAGTACAATAACACATTTGTACTATTTTTTCACATATACAATTCATAATTAAAATATACAATTGTATTATGATGCATCAGCACGCCATCTGTTATGAAAATTAGAAACTATTATAGACGCGTATGATTCTTTTAAAAACTAAACAATTTCTACTGCCCTTACTGCAATGGAATGCATCAGTATCACTATAAAAGTAAAACCGAAAAATGCAATATAACAGCGGTATGGTAGATTAAACTGGCGAAACCGCTGGGAGGGTTCATCACTGATGAGCCAGGCCCTCCCATTAATTTTTCCAATGCAGTAAGGGCAGTAGAAATAGTTTTTTTTTTAATCATACGTGTCTATAATAGTTTTGAATTTTCATATACAATTGTATAACTATTGATTTATTTTCACACATTTTTTCCCAAGATAGTTGGTATTCTAAGCACCAGGAACCTGGATTATACATCTCTCTCTCTTACATTGTTTTATTATTCATAACAATATTTCTCTCTATATATTGGGAAATATGTATTTTAAATACTTGTTAACACAAAGCAATAACGCGCCATCTATACATATAAAATGAAAGGATTTAAAAGCACGAATGTTTCTTTTATACTTAATACAAACTTCAATATATTTTTTCATCGCAGTAAGGGCAGTAGAAGTTTGTATTATGTATAAAAGAAACATTCGTGCTTTTAAATCCTTTCATTAAATGCTTGTGTGTCAAGTTTAAATGTATGATATTTCTATTTTTATGAAATTTACTTTTTGAAAAATATCTTAATTCTAGGAACAACTCTAGGTTTCAAAGTCCTTTAAAAGGAAATTTTTAGTGTGTACGGCCGGCCGCTCGCTGATGAATTAAAAACAAATGGCTCTATTGTTCAGGATAATGGTTTTAAATGAAGAGATAACATGTGCCTGGACGGTACTGGGAGATTCTATTTCTTGAAAATAAAGATACTTCGGCCAGTAAATCTTTTTATTACCTCGACGTTTCGACAAAAAGCTTTTGCCAGTAAATCTTTTTATTACCTCGACGTTTCGTCATAAAGCTTTTTGTCTAAACGTCGAGATGATAAAAAGATTTACTGGCCGAAGTATCTTTATTTTTCAAGAAATATGAATGCCGGTCAGGCAGCCTCTATCTTTTGGGAGATTCTAATTAAATTTTTATGTTTTGAAACGAGTAATTATAAAATGAAAACAAAAAGTCCGGTTTCTCACATCCAAGTCGACCGCTCGAGGATTAGAGAGAGTATTTATAAACCAACTTGACAACTAATATCAATAATACAGTGCAATAAAGAAAGATTTCAAATCAGTTTATTGTTCCTTTCCCATATCATAAGTAAATGTAATCATCTGATGAAAAGAGACGCACCAAATTTCATCAGCCATCCTGTTGAAACATGCCCTGGCTTGTCCTGCCGTCTCGGCTTAGCTGATGCAAGAAAGGGAAACTGATGGCGCCCTCCGTAGTTACTTGATTCTGTAGTGTGTCGATTTATTAGTCCAGCGATGGCTCAGAAAGTATTTCAAAGTTAGTGTTTTATTGGTATTACTTATTGGCTACATTTTTAAAGGAAGACAAGAAGGACAACACCCTAGAATGTCTATTCTGGTTCTGTTGGCTTCCGCCGATCTGCCGCGCTGCGGTGGTCATCTCCTATTTCATGGCCCCGCTTGTATGTTTGTTGACGGCGTGGTCTGTCATCCCAGCAGGCTGGAAGGAAGTCTCTTGGCCCCCACAATTCCACACTGTGAAAAGTGAAAGTAAACTCTAGTTATTACGATGCACTAGCGCGCCATCTATTATAAAAATTACAAACTATTTTAGACGCGTGAGATTCTTTTAGAAATTAAACAAAGCTTATATCCATAGTTCATCTAAAATACCCCTTCCAAGAGTCTAACAACAGTATCACTATAAAAGGAAGATCGAAAAATGCAATATAACAGCGGTATGGTATATATTAATTATGGTATATGGTATATATACAAAGGTCACTCCGAAATATTTTTCAATCACTTATATTTATTAAAGCTATTATAAAAGAATCATACACGTCTATAATATTTTCGAATTTAATAAATCTGCAACTTTCAAATTTTTAGAGTTTCTCAAAGTATTCACCCTTAGCACCTATGCAAGATTTCATCCGTGAAAACCAATTATCGAAGCACTTACACCAGTCATCTTCGGGGATGGAATTTACGGCATTGATAAAGTCTTACAGTGCTTCATCATTAGTGTCAAATTTTATCCCTTTCAACAATAACTTAACTTTTGGAAATAAAAAAGTCACAAGGTGCTAGGTCTGGTGAATATGGTGGATGAGTGACTAATTGGATACCAGAGTTGGCTAAAACGTCTAATGTTTGGGCTGAGGTGTGCGGTCTTGCATTGTCATGGTGAAGAAGGACTCTTCTAAGTTGAGCTCTTGGTCTGCTTTGCTTGATTTTTTCAAATACTGCTGGAAGGCATTTTGTTGTATACGACTCACTATTAACTGTCTTTCGATCTTCTAACTTCACAATATCAATCAAACCACTTTTTCTAAAAAAAAACAAGCGACCATTTTTTTCCAACACTTCGGGCTCTGCGAACTTTCTTAGGAGAAGGTGTTTTTGAAGAGCACCAAAGAGTAGATTGCCGTTTTGCTTCTGGATCAAAATTTCAAATCCAAGTTTCGTCACCTGTAATAATATTAAAAAACAGGCTTTGATTTGCCTTCATCAAAATTTTTCAACATGAAATTACACCATTTGACGCGAACAAGTTTTTGGTCTTCAGTCAAACTGTGAGGTACCCATCTACTAACAAGTTTTCTCTATTTTAAATGATCATTAATGATGGTGTTGATTGCTGCCGATCCAATGGCCACACTTTTCTCTAACTGCTGATATGTAATTCTTCGATCTTATCTAAGTTAAAATCTTACCAGCTCAATTTTTCCTGGGTCACTGCTGTTGGTGGTCGACCTGAACGAGGTTCATCTTCAAGGTTGGTTTATCTAAATTTAAATTCATTAAACCAATTAAAAACTGTTCTAATAGAAGGAGCTTTATCTCCTAAAGCTTCCATCAATCTTTCATGGGATTCTTTAGAAGTTGATTTACTTTTATAATCATAAAAAATCCTGGCGTATAAACTTTCTATAGTCAACTTCATTGTGTCTGATGCAATTTTTAGAAATTACCGCTGCCGCCGTAAACAAAGTAGCGCCCTCTATGAGTAATTGTTGTTACTATTTTATGAAAATGCTTATGTTAGGTAAAAATGAATGTACATTTCAATGGTATATTTTTATTTTTTTAATATTTAAATTATTTAATATTGATTGCAAAAAGCTTTGGAGTGACCCTTGTATATAAATTCAAATTTCTGCCCAGATAACTTCGGAGGTCCGGGGTGCACAGGCTTCAAACTTGTAGCCGTTTAAAAGCGGAGTGGTTAGATTCCACCTTCTGGGCAACTTATTTTAGCTTTATGTGTCCATCGGGGCTCAAAAATCATCCATTCTGGTTTGCAACCCCGTAAATAATGATATTTCCGTATATAAATTCATTTCCCACCTTAGACTCTCATATTTATTAAAGTGGTATCAATTTTATTATTTCGGAATTTTCCTTACTTGCTTACTCGAGATAATAATTCAATTATTTGGAATATTTTAAATTGGGTAATATTTTTTGAATAATCGAATTACGACACATTTGTGTGAGAAAAATATGTAATACTTACCCAGAGTTTAGAGATCAGAGCTAATTTTAAAATAATAACACAAGACATTTTAATGACTTTTACACACAAAATCTATATATACTATTGTAACAAAGTATTTATTATTTTATTAGCAGAGTATTATTTTTTATGTTTATATTTTGCTTTACTCTGTACACTTCCCTCTTTTGCTTATCTTTTGTTTATCACTCATAGTTTGTTCTTGCCTTAAATAAATTGTTGTCTCCTCCTGAAGTTGGTCTTCCCTAATTTTCCACGTGGCATTTTGGTGGAGATGCTGGGTAGATTAGGGAAGACAAACTGAAGATTGCCGAGAAGACCTGAGGCCATGGGTGCTGTGATCTACATTTTCAGAGACTGGCTCCAGGATTCCAACGACGTGTCAAAGCCAAGACTTCCCTCCAAGATGACGATGTCCCTATAGACGATACAACGACAAAGCCGCCCTTCACGCCGCAAGAAAAAGGACGCAAATGTACTAGGGACAAAATTACAAGACTTCGATGGAATCCTTGGCAGAAGCACGTCAGATCCATGTCAGTAACTACAATAATTGCTAGCTGTGGGTAACAGCTCCCATAGGGGTATTTATTATTTTATTAGCAAAGTATTATTTTTTATGTTTATATTTTTATATACTCTGTTAACTTCCCTCTTTTGCTTATCTTTTGTTTATCATTCATAGTTTGTTCTTGCCTTAAATAAATTGTCTCATCCTGAAGTTGGTCTTCCCTAATTTTCCACGTATAAATATATATATTTAAAAATTAAAGTCAATTTATCGAGAGGCAACTCTCCCTTTAATTACGTACCAGAATGATGCACTCACAAGAGTCCCACTCCAGGGATACGGAGGAGCTGTGTCTGTACTCATGTTAGAGTCAGCAGCAAAGGTTTCCATGTTAGGAATGGCCTCAAATTACAGGCAAAGTCAGACTTTCACCAAAGTGTGCCTGAATTATGGTGCCATGATCAACGAAAGCTGCACCCCTACACCCCATTCAATGAGATTTGAAATTTCTAAAAACTTTACTAGTTTTTTTTTTTTTTGCTTATCCCTAGTACACGTGGTACAGGCCATGGTAATCATGGTGGGTAGTTAGCGACTGCTTTTACTGTAAGCGCACCACATGTCTACACATGTGAATAGCAGTTCGACTTTGCACTTACAAATGTGCCAGAGCCCCGTTTGGTTACTTGCACCCGCTGGTGGGGTTGGACTTTTGCAAGAATCGGGGGCCATTGGAGCATTTTTTTTTTTTTAAACAGAAAAAAAAGTGTTCAATGCGGGAATCGAACCCGGGTCGTAGTGGTCGAAAACCAAACGGTTTAACCAGCCTTCCACCGACCCCTAGTGATGATAAAGAATGAGCCACGACACCAGTTTTGACAAATTCAGACAGTAATCCAACCTGTAAACCATGGTTTAGGGTTTTGGCCCTCATCAGTACAGGGACGGCTTCGATTTCATAATGTACTACGGTTTTTCATTAGAGCAAAAATTGGAAAAGTTTCCATTCCAGGAGATAGAGGACTGCCGATAACGGACTGGCCTCACAGCAGGTGGTCTGTTTATATGTACAATCTTAGCAACTTCCTGGTAGGGAATGGAGGTAAATGTTATCTACATAGCAAAGGAGTACACCTCAAGTTATAACATATAGCATTCAAGGGTCTTAATAAACTTTTCAACTTAATGTGTAGATGTTTATTTAAATTGAATAAATAATGAAAACATTGCATTTTGAACATTAAACATTTCCCCAAAATGATAAAATATTAAAATATTTTTATTCGATTGCATTCAAAAAATTTTATGATCGTAACAGTAATGAATAAATTAAATTTTATTGCCATCTATCGTTTAAATTTTACACAAATAAATTTACTGGCAATGCGTTTCTTTTAAATATCATCAAATATTATCTCTACAGACCTTACTGCAATGATATGAGTTATTGAATGAGAGGGCTTGGCTCATCAGTAGTGAACCCTCTCAGTGGTTTTAATTTGGCGAAACCGCTGAGAGGGTTCACTACTGATGAGCCAAGCCCTCTCATTCAATAACTCATATCATTGCAGTAAGGTCTGTAGAGATAATATTTGATGATATTTAAAAGAAACGCATTGCCAGTAAATTTATTTGTGTAAAATTTAAAGTAATGAATAAATCTCGCAATACGTTCTACCTTATTACCTACCACCCTAAGTTTTTAGAAATTACTACAATAGATAATTAGATCTTTATAATCAATATTCAGAATCAATCGAAAATTTTTGTTTATGTATTTATCAGGTAATTGCATAATAGTAATTGTTACTTGTGTTGATTTAATGTGATCTATTTTATGAAAATATATACATAAACTTACCTATATAAGGCATCGAGAACTTAATCAATTGAATTAAGGTATTATTGTGTTTCTCTCGACACATATTTAGTTCTTGAGTGGTGCTACCTTCGATTGTAATTGATTCATTAATAAATGGGTTCTTTATATTCTTAAAATTTCGTTAATCAATAGATTAATTTCCGTTGCGATTTGTTTAGTATTCTCTTCTTGTTCCAACAAACCACCTAGTTTTTGATATTTGCAACAATGAATAATATGTGAGGGTTATTCACATATTAAACAAAATGTTAACGCGGAATTCAATCCTGATTCATGGCTGTCGGGAATCGAGGGTGTTACCCACTTGTCCACCGTTAAGTATTCTCTTCTTGTGATTGAGAGAACGACAAATTGATTCCATACAGGGTTGATGGTTATACAATTAATATGAACATTTGTGTATATAGTGCTTAGATAAATTAAAATTGAATTAGGTTTATGAATGATAAATTATACTATTTTTGTTTCTCGTGAGAAGATATAAAATATTAATTTATAATTCCATGTTAAGATAAGAAAAAATAAATAAAACAATCATTGGATTAGGTTCATAAATATTATCAAGTATTCGACTTATATATTTGTTGAATGATCACTTCCATTCATTTCTTGATTGGTAGTTAATATATTATTTTATATTCTGTTCATTATTGTGCTTAATTATTCATTTAATATTTTATCAAATAACAGTTTGGTTCCTTATTACAATAGGTTCATCATATAATCAATTGTTAAATGTAATTCTTTGCGATCACATAGCGATTCAATCATTTGATTTATAATATTCCTTTAATAGATTGGTGATGAATCTGTATCCAGCGTACGTTTGATCAATTCATAGATTGATTCCATATCCAGTGCGCGTTTGATCAATTCATAGTATGATTCCATATCCAGTGTACGTTTGATCAATTCATAGATTGATATTATATCCAGTGTACGTTTGATCAATTCATAGATTGATTCAAACTCCGCCTTTGGCGGTCCCAAACCCGGATGAAAAAGGAGGAGGGGGAGCAGTAACAAGCTCGCTAAAAAACCTGGGTTCAGCTGGCCCGGCTGATAGTACCCTGTAAGGGCTCCTGATCCATGGATACAGGATGAGCAGCGTTTGTACTCCATGTTAGGAACGGCTGCACATGGCGTCTGTTCCTCATATCAGAGGCGGTCATTTCTTTTGGAGCTAAGTCGGCCTGCCACTGAGTAGTGCTCCCAGTCTTAATGAAAAAGGCAGACACATTCTACTTCACCCAGTCATGATGGTTGTCAAACAGACACCATCAAGGGTCACAACTTGGTACCCTAATATGATTGAGTGAAGATAAGAAAGAAGAAGAAGAAGATAGATTGATTCGATATCCAGTGCGCGTTTGATCAATTCACAGATTGATTCCATATCCAGTGCGCGTTTGATCAATTCATAGATTGATTCCATATCCAGTGCGCGTTTGATCAATTCATAGATTGATTACATATCCAGTGCGCGTTTGATCAATTCATAGATTGATTCCATATCCAGTGTACGTTTGATCAATTCATAGATTGATTCCATATCCAGTGTACGTTTGATCAATTCATAGATTGATTCCATATCCAGTGTACGTTTGATCAATTCATAGATTGATTCCATATCCAGTGTACGTTTGATCAATTCATAGATTGATTCCATATCCAGTGTACGTTTGATCAATTCATAGATTGATTCCATATCCAGTGTACGTTTGATCAATTCATAGATTGATTCCATATCCAGTGCCTTCAATCAATTCATAGATTGATTCCATATCCAGTGTACGTTTGATCAATTCATAGATTGATTCCATATCCAGTGTACGTTTGATCAATTCATAGATTGATTCCATATCCAGTGTACGTTTGATCAATTCATAGATTGATTCCATATCCAGTGTACGTTTGATCAATTCATAGATTGATTCCATATCCAGTGTACGTTTGATCAATTCATAGATTGATTCCATATCCAGTGTACGTTTGATCAATTCATAGACTGATTCCATATCCAGTGTACGTTTGATCAATTCATAGATTGATTCCATATCCAGTGTACGTTTGATCAATTCATAGATTGATTCCATATCCAGTGTACGTTTGATCAATTCATAGATTGATTCCATATCCAGTGTACGTTTGATCAATTCATAGATTGATTCCATATCCAGTACACATACGATCAATTTATAGATTGATTTTATATTGATCGCGCGTTTTATTAATTTTTATATTGTGTGTTATATCAAATCCAGTGCGCGTTTGATCAATTCATAGATTGATTCTATATCCAGTTTGAGTTTGTTAGTCTTAATTTTTTATATTTCC